TTTCCCTAGGGGCTGTGATCATATTGCTCACATTGTAAATTTCATAATTTCCTTTTTTACATGGAATCATTTAAATCTGTGTGATGTAAATAATACAGTTGTGAAATAATACTACTTGTTATTGTATTAGGGTTGGATATTGTTAGCATACTCAGCAGTTAAGAGTTGGGATTCTGGAGTCAGACAGCCTCTGTTCCAACGTGGGTCTGTCATGATCTTGAGCAACTAATGTATCTTTCTGCACCTCAGTTTCCCCGTCTACAATGTAGGTATAACTATAGCAGAGTATTTTTGAAGTTTTAATGAGATATTATATATGGAATAGTGCCTAACACATGGTAAGCACTCAGTATGTATAATTAATGTTATATTCTTACTATATTTATACATGGTATCAGTAGTTTGCAATTGTACTTAGGATTCTAATATATACTTTAAGAGTGATCTCAAATATCCACAATGCTTTTAAAGAGACTAGTAACAATTAGACAATAGAATTTTAAAGTTGTAAAAGAACTTTAATGTCATATGATTCTACTCTATTACAGGTGAGGACTTTTAAAAAACAAAAACATTGATACAGAGTCCAGCTATCTTATGGTAAAAGATAGTGGGGGGTTACAATCATCAGATTAGCCTTGTAGATCAGTAAAATATATAGGCCACACCTATACTTCTAGCAGCTTTGCCAGATGGGCTTTCAGTCCCACTTACATTTATAAGTGCCACTCAATTATTGTCTTAGCTACCTGCATTTTTTTAAGTGTCCAAGTGGAAAGCAGCAAAATGCTCACAGTTCTCTGAGAAACAACAAAATTCCTAAGACTACCTAAAAATGGTAATAAAAAAGGACAAGCATGGTTTAGGACATTTATTTTAGGGCAACTGCCTGATTTATTTTAAGCCCTATGCTTAAAAATAAATTTAATTCACATGACTGGCTTAAAATATTGGAGCCAGGAAAAGTCACTGCAAAAGCATTTAATGAAATACCTGAATTTTGTCTAGTTGTCGTCAGATACGATTTTTGTGAAGACTTACTTCCTATCTTGATTTATACAGTGGATTTTACATCTAAATATTTCTTGTATCTAACACAATGAAAACAGAATGCACATTTTTCAAACAATAGAACATTTTCCTAACCTCTGACTCACAACAGAAAGTTGGTGGACTGTTCAGATGCTGTACAGTGCTTTTTATATAGACAATTGGTTCATCTGTAGCATTCTCCAGTGTGGGGTAAAACATCCACATTTTCTATTTTTAGCAATCCTTTATTTGACCTATGAGCAAAACTGAAGATTGATTAGAAATGAATTAAAGTAGATGTCCT